TCCTGGTGGTTCTCTTACCACCACCGGGATAGTGGTCTTGTACGAGGCCTTTTTCCAAAAAAAAATAAAAAAAATAAATAATAATAATAATAATAATAATAAATAAAAATGGAAAGGTACACAACAACCAAACATACGACAGACTAACCGTCACCATCTCATTTCAAAAGAGAGAGAGAGAGAGAGAGAGAGAGAGAGAGAGAGAGAGAGAGAGAGAGAGAGAGAGAGAGAGACTTGTGCCATGTTGTATGCACAGCCAATCGGCGGGATGACATCATGTCACCCGCTACGTCCATTGGCTGAACACTGCGTTTCAGATAACACACACACACACACACACACACACACACACACACACACACACACACACACACACACACGGGGTCCGAGGTCGGGACCCGTCGGCGGCGATGGCAAATGTTGTTGTCCGTCCATCGGCCACCGCGCGGACGACCGCCATCCATTCCACGAAACCGGTCGGCGCCGAACCGACACGACGATCGCGCCGCAAAAAAAAATCTACAAAAAAAAATCTACAAAAAAAAAAACAAAAAAAATTGAAAAAAAAAAGGCCACGAAACATACCACCAACCACAGGGACCCCGCCCGAACTTCTGTCCGTCGGGTGGACCGTACCAGTCCAGTCGAGGCCACATGTGGAAACGTTACCATTTCCAAAAACACACAAAAAAAAAACCACGACCTCCAAGGTTCCGTGGGACATAGCCTCGGCAAAAAATGGCGCGCAGTATACTTCAGGGTTGGCAAAAACAGGCTCGGACGTACTGGTGGTTTAAGAGAAAACTAGGGCGCGGTCAGGGTTAGAGTTTGAAAATACGTTTCAAACTTCGGTTTTGGAGTCCATTCCCCTCTGAAGTCTACACTGCGGGCCAAACTCCCCCGTCGCGTGGCTGTCGCAGGGCAGAGTTTGTAACTGCAGTCTAGTCATCCACGTCGGAGGGGCAGGCCGTTTTCCAGAGAGAACACCTTATCCGTATCTATGAGGAAGCGTGGTATTTGGACCCGGTTGTTAACCCCTCGCTGAAGAGAGGGAGAACGCATGGGGAAGGGCCTAATATAATGTCGTACGTGGCCAGGAATGAACGAATTGCCCAACGGATGGTGATGAAGGGCGAAGATAGGATACCCACGAGGTCAGGATCAATCAAAGTTATTTTTAAACCCTGGATGACAAAGCAGGAAATTGACGAATTGAGAGATAACGAAGGGGCGGGGAAATTCTGAGTAATCGCTCTCAGAGTACCACTCGAAGCCCTACCCCCATTACGATTCGCTGTTGAAAGGTTGATGGGCCGGATCCTTCATGTGCGTCCCCCAGAGAGGAACGCAGAAGAACCAAGACTAGGGAATATTAGGATAGATTGCGTTCCGGAGGTAAGGGAGAATTTTAAGGAATGGCTTGTGGTGAGAAAACCTACGGGAGGTTGGTTGGAGGTACAATTTGCGAATCAGGACACAATTTTCTGCAACAAATGTATGTGGTGATTCCACGACGAATTCGACCCAGACTGTCCGAGGTTCAACGAACCGATGCCGGAAGGCCGACGAGGTAGGGGAAAAGGAGGAAGAGGTAGAGGGGGAGGAGCCAGAAGAGGGGGAAGGGACTTTTCATATTTGGGGAGGGGGGGCAGAGGGGGAGGGGGAGGGGGGGGGGGAGGAGGGGGGGGAGGTGGCCTGGTCCCCCAAAATCAACCTCCTGCTCCGATCTTGCCGGCACCGCCAGCCCCGTCACTTCCGATGGTTTTATATGGGAATGGGCAAGGAATTCCGCCCCCACCCCTGGCACAAGGGGGAACAGGGATTTGGCCTTCGGCCCCACCCCCGTTCCCACCAGCCCCAAACAGGCAGAATGTCGGCCCACACCAGACAGGATATCAGGGACTTGAACTCCGGCACGGGCCTATCCAGACCTCATCAGCACAACAGACTTGCTCCACGGCAACAGGAAGGGGAACTCAGAATCAGCCTCCATCTTCCGTACCGAACCCGGGCCTCCAGCCTATACCTGTCCGGCCACAAGTCTGGCCACAGGTCATACCACGTCATCCATGGTCTAGTCAAAGTTTTGCCCACTCTTTTCAAACACACCCCCCCAGAACGGCGGAGCCCAACTCAGAGGCAGGGCAGGGAAGGACAGGGCCCAACAGAGGCCAGGATAAACCCAGAGCCCCACTATCAGAAAGAAGACAGGGAGCGGACTTAAATTTGGGACGGAATGGGGAGGGCAGGGGGACAGGGGAACAAACCGGAAGGGGTAACCTCCTCCAAGGGGCTGTGGGTGGTCTGGATGGGGATGGTTGGCAAGGATATAATTATTCATATCCACATCCACACCCACATCATCCACACCCGGCGGGTTACACACAGGTAGGAGGGAGGGGAGACCCCCAGTTCCTAGGAATGGAATCACTAGGGCATATTACTACAGGCTCCCGGCTAGTCTCGCCGCTCCCCACTGGGGGCCAAACAACTGGGCACCGGGAAGTTAATGTTACCTCCATCTGCTCCACTCAGCAGGTAGGAATGAACCCAAGACCTCTGACAACACTTCCACTGGCGACAGTCAGTACTCAGGGCTTGACAGAGAGACTGAGTCAAACCTACGTCACTGTCCAATTCAATCCGGAGTTTGCAATTGAGAATAGCAGGGAAGAAAGAGCAGCACGGGAGATGCTGGGACTAGATAGATATCTGAGCAATGAACGACAGCTGGCGGAAAGAGCTGAGGGTGGGGGACTGCTACAAGGCTTGAATAACAAGGAAGGGGCAAGAGGGGGTGAGAGAGGCATCCCCCCCCCAGACCAGATCATGAGAGATCCGGGTAACCGGAAGTCATTGCAGGCCCCAGTTAAAATAAGGAGGCTAGGAGAGGGTGGAGAGGGAGAAACCACGCAGGAGGAAGCAGAAGGAACTGTAGAATACTACAGCATTCGGCCCCCTTCCAGCCAACCAGCAAAAGGAAGCAGAGAGACACCGCAGGTACAGGCCAAGCTAGTCCCCACTAGACAAGGGGAAATTCTAGCCCGAACCGGCTCAAATCCAAGAGGAGCCACATATATGCTGGTCCTAGTTTGTGCCTCGTTGGCACCGCAAGGGGTGAAAATTATGGCGGTGGACACAAGCGCAGGAGGCTGGACGCTCCCTACAGTCCCAACGGAATCACTGCCTCTCACAAAAGACGCGATCAGGATGAAGTCTCAATGCTTTGTAGCAGACCGTTTTCCTTTCAGACTAATCCCAGGAATTTGAACGAACAGAAAGTCGTTTACACTCCCACAGGGCACCGTCTCCTTCGTAACAGTGGTGTTGGATGTGAAGATTACAGCGGATGTGGCCACTCAGTTGGCCACACAAGGAATAGGCTGGATCCCACCAAATTGGCTGAATTCCAATTCTTCGAAAGAAATGGAGAAGTTCCAGCTCACGGAAGATGTGCCAGCCTCATTTGTGGCAGATTTCTGCTCAGCCTTGCAAGGGGACAAACAACCCTGGTCTCCGTGTTTTCGCACCCTGATGCTTACCCCTTGGGAACCACCTACTGAAGCAGAAACACAGGCACAAGGAAGAAGAAGAAAGGCAAACAGCAAAACACAAGCAATCGAGCAGCGGATCCAAACATCAACCGCTCCACAGTCACCGTTAAATGGATAGGGTCCGGGTAGCTACATGGAACGTGAGAGGTTTGGTGAACTCGTCAGGGAAATTCAAAAGGGCACGTCTCAAGACATGGATCCATCGTCAGAGAGCATACATTGTTTTTTTGCAAGAAACAAAACTAGACGAATTAAGGATTGCAGAAATTTCTCGTTGGTGGAGAGACCCTCAGTTGTGGGCTCCCGCAAATGGTACACGAGGTGCTACCGCAATCTTGATCCATAAAGATCTAGAACTAACAATCCTGGATTCCTTGACAAACATTTGGGGACACTGGGCTTGGATGAAAGTTAGTATGGAAAATCAGGAATGACTGCTGATGTCGGTGTACGCTCCCTTGATTCCGGGAGAGAGACGGTCCTTCTTTGCAGAGCTGCAACACATCGTCCCAGAAGTTCAGAACATGGTGGTCGTAGGTGATTTCAATACAGTCCTCAGCCCAGGCCTGGACTCACAGGAACTAGAGGCAAGGAAGACAGACGCACGCATGCTGTTGCAATTCATGGCGGAAAGGAATTTGACGCACGCATTCAGACAGTTACATCCGGATGAGCCGGGCTTCACCTGGTTCTCCACACAACAGCAGTTGAATGCTGAACCTCCCAAGTGAAGGCTTGATCTACTGCTGGTCAAGGGAGAACCGTGGGAGGCGATGATCAGTGCGGAAACAGTACCAGCTCCCATGTCGGACCACCGCCCAATTTTGGCAAATTTAAGAACAAGCGCATGCATCCAAAGAGATACAGGCACCTTTCGCTTGAATACGGAACACCTCAAGAACCCAGCAGTTATTGAATGGTGCAGGAACCACTGGGAGGACTGGTCCAAGACCAAGAACAGGTTTGAATCGGAAGAAGAATGGACACAGTTGGGATTTAGAATCGTTACTAGAGCAATGAATGTGTTCTCAAGGATTTTGGCAAGGGGAAAAAACAGGGAAGAGCAAGAGTGCCAACAACGGATTGAGGAGGCAGAAGATCAGATAGGGAAAGATCCCCTATCTGATATCTATTGGGAGAAGAGGAGAGCGGAATGGTTGGAGAAGTGGGAGAAGTTGCAGATTGGGGAACAAGAGGTATGGGCGCAGTGAGCAAGGGAGAAGGGTATGATGCAAGTAGACCGAATGACAAAGGAGACGTTTCAACGTCCAAGCCTGCCAAGGAGGCATAGGCTGATCAGGGCGATGCACCACCCATTCAATTCTCAAGCGGATGAGGCAACAGACAATGAGGGGATGACACAGTATGCAGCAGAATATTTCACGGACATTTTCACCTCGCGTCGCCCGACTGAAGAGTCCCTAGCAGAAATGCAGATGGAATCGGACCTATGGCGACACACTACAGTGAGATTGACAGATCACCAAAGACACAACTTGGATCGACCGCTCACGTTGGAAGAGTTGGGAGAGGCAATGAGAAGCATGGCAAGAGGCAAGGCGCCGGGAGACGACGGATTACCGGTGGAGTTCTTCGAAGCCACCTGGGAACAGGTAGGCCCGATTTTGGTAAGGCTATTCAACAGAGTGTTGGAGGGTGGAAAGCTGACTGAGGATATGTGCAGAGGAGTTATTACTCTGATGTACAAAAAGGGAGACAAGTTGAATGTACGGAATTGGAGGCCTATAACCTTACTAAACGTGGCGTACAAGATCTTGGCGAAGGCTCTCTCAAGAAGGGTGGGGGAGGTTCTTCCGGACTTAGTCAAGTCGGATCAGGGAGCGTTTGTGAAGGGGAGGTCGATTTCAGAGAACATACTAGTGGCGATGGGGGCATTGGAAGTGATAAGCAAAGAGCGCAGACAAGTTCTGGTGGCTATGCTTGATTTAGAAAAGGCTTATGACCGGGTTAATTGGTCATTTGTTTTGGCGACGCTGGAACATGTGAACTTCGGCAGTTCATTTCGCAGATGGGTGGGTATGATGTACAGGAGCGCCACTGCAACAGTCACTACTAATGAAAGGAAATCTAGGGAGTTTTCGCTTACCCGGTCCCTGCGGCATGGCTGCCCTTTGGCCCCGCTGCTGTTTGTGGTTCAGATGGAAGTAGTGATGAATGCTGTAAGGGCTGCCCCCCTGATTAAAGGGTTTCAACTGTACGAAGAAGAGGTCCGGGTGGGAGCTATCGCAGACGACTTACTCCTGATCTCGGAAGCAACCCCGGAATCCATGGGAGCCGCAAAAGACCTGGTGGATCAATACTCTAGCCTATCGGAGGCTAAAGTAAACTGGGATAAATCCGTATACTTCCTTCCGTCTGAGTTTGATATTGAGGATGACTGGACGATGAGACGAGCCCCAGTGCAAGATTCAGAACGGTATTTAGGAGTACAAGTTTCACTGAATAATAACAGGCCGGCACAAGACTCCATCTTGGTGGCGAAGGCGGAAGCACGGGTGAAAAGTTGCAAAGCTGCCATGAGACTCTCCCTTATGGGAAGAGCCAGAGTGGTTACAACATCAATATTTTCCCTTATCTGGCACATAGCAGCCGTCATCCTAATCTCCAGAACCACACTGCAGAAACTGAGATCGGTAGCCTCCAAGTATTTATGGAAACTGACGGCACTAGAGGAGGAAGGCTTTATCTGCAAGGTAGCATGGGATAAAGTTGCACAGTCCAAGAGAGATGGAGGCTTAAGCATCATTGACCCAGAAAGACAAAATTTGGCACTACTGGGTAAATGGTTCCTGAAGATTAGCTCTCGAGCAGAACTGAGAAACTGGTTGTTGATAATGCAGTATATTATGCAACAGGAGTTCCACTTGGCCCGAAAGGAGGATGTCTGGCTCTGTCTCCAAATGTCAGCATTTCTGAAACGCCGCCCCAACTCTGCAATTGGTGCCTCCTGGTGCACAACATGGAAGAAGCTGAGGCCCCAGCTCCCAGCGACTCTAGAGTCAAAAGCAGAGATCTTGAGACAACCATTATTCGAAAACTCCCTAATCACAGATATAGGGGGAAGAGAGTTTGAGGTATCAGGTTCGCCTACAACTTTTTGGCGCAAGTGGATTGAGAGAGGGGTCTCCAGGGTACAAGATCTATGGGATGACCACAGGAAGGATTGGAGAACAGAAAGGGAACTTCGTCAGGTATTGGGGAGGATGCAGAATGTGGGTGGTCGCAGGGATGCAATCACGGAAGCCATATCAATCGAATGGAGGGAGATACTCAGCAGGAAACACCCGAAGAGAAAAGAAGCTTGGTACAAAGAGGAGGGGATAGGTGCACCCTCCATGGAGTATCTCAGGCTGGAGGAGCTAACTGAGCAGGGGATATGGACGGCAACTAGGTGGGAGGTAGAGAAGCCGGATGCAGGGGAGGGCAAGTTACGGCAAATAGATACAGAAGGCAACGCAGGGATTGATCCTCTCCAGTCGCTGACAGAGGTTAGAGTCTGTTCAAAACCCCAGTCCACTCACGGCCGGAATTTCATTCTGATCCAAGGAGGGGCCGCTATTTCAGAACTGAGACTGGATCCTCTAGCTTAATATTGGAGACAAGATGTGCAAGGGCACTACAAAAAGAGGTTTATCCTAAGCTATGATACAAAGCTGGGGAGAAGATTGTTGAAGCCACTGGAAAGCAGAATGGAAGAAATCCGGGAAAGAGCGGCAAGAACACTAAACCTGTCAGAAACCCCGTCAGCGGCGGCGCTGTATGGGTTGTGGTTGGCCCTCCCAGGCCTTCCAAGTGTGAAGCTTGCTGGCCTGCTATGGTTGATCTCCCATTCAGCACTGCCGTCGGCCACCTGGCTGGCAGAGAGGGGTATGGAAGTAACAAGGAATTGTAGAAGATGTGGCTGTTGCTCAGAGGAATCGACTTACCACCTCATCTGGGATTGTCCTGCATCCAAACGGATATGGCTCTGGTGGGCAGAACACTGGCAAAGGATGGGGCCGCTGCTGAACTGGGATCAGGACTGGGTGCTAACTGGCAAACTGCCTCCTTTGTTTTACAGTGGACGGGGGTGGGGGTATGTTGCATAGTCAATCCGGTCGGTATTGATGTGGATTATTTGGGAAGACCGGAACAATATATGTTTCCGGGTGGAATGGTCTGCTGACGTGGCTATCAAGAGGAAAGCGAAAGCCTTGATTCGGACAATGATCATAGCCCACAAGGGCACCAAATACCTCAAAAAAGCCGAACCAAATGCCTCAAAGTTTTGAGACTTTTGGTCCCTGTGTGAGTATGCCCACATTATTGTTTTTGTTGTTCCTTGAGGAGGGCTTGGATGCTGTTTCGTCTAGTAGGACCTATCGGTAGCTGCTCGACTGGTACTGACATCACAGTACTTGGGTCAGATTTGCTCAGAGGGCCTTTTTTTTCTGGAGGAGGGTCTAAGATCGGAACCACTGTGACCAAGCTCCTCCCCAGAGTAGATCTGACCTGACGAGCTGGCTAATCCAGATTCCAATTTACTCTTTTTAAATAGAATGAACATTTCGTGTTTCTTGAATGCCTGTAGAGCTTCAAATTGAACTCCGCCATCAAGGAATAAACCTGGGACCTATGTGTACCCCCCGTACGTATACGAGGAGTATGAGCGGCCGTACGGCCATACGTACGGGCCTCCAGGCGACTATACGAGCCGTTTCGTGGGCCTTGCTGGGGGGGGGTGTGACATCTGAGGGGGTGGCAGGAGGGTGCACGTCGGGGGCTACCCCCCAAAGGAAAAAAGAATGAAAAAAGAAAAAGTTTGTTCAAGGGTTGTGCGGAGATGGTCAGGAATTAAAGAAAAAAGAAAAGACTGATTGATTGATGCGAGGCACCGTGCCAAGGCCTCGACGAGCCCTACTGGGCCCTGTTTTCAACAATGTCGGCCGCCCTAAGTGAAGGCAGGCCCGACCAAGGACAAGAGGCCTATTTTCGGCTACCACACAACTGGGGAAATTCAGGCAGTTGCGCAGCGCCAGTGGGTTGAGAGTGCCCAGACCCTGGCTGCCTTTTTCAAATGTAACTGAGGCAGGCCCTGGGCCAGATACGCAACATGGGCCGAACACAGGCTGTGGGCAGTTGAACACGGGTAACCGCCCTAAGCCCTGGGCCTGATTCCCTGGACCGGGGCTCAACCATTTGGGGCCTACCGGAAGCTTCTGGGCAGGGGCTTAGGGCAGCCACACCGCACGCAGCATGCAGGCAACTTCCATATAGGAAAGTGCCTGCCCCCGCATTTGGCATTCGGGCACTTGCTGCATGCTGCGCTACTGGCAGGCAAGCGCCCACGCGCTCACGGGCGAGCAAGGGATCCACAGGCAGCCATAGCTGAGCTGGCCTGCGAGGTGCTGGATGGGGCACATGGCGGTCCTTGGGTGCACGTGGCATCTGTGTGGGGGATCAAGGTTGTGAGTGATGCGAGAGACATACCTGGTGCTTGAGGCAAATGGCATTGGCCGAGATCTGTTCATACTTCGGGGAGCTGTTGATGTCACCAGCGGCATTGTAGATAGGCTAGAATCCCGCTAGATAGGATCTGCCATTTGTAGTATGGGCGCAGAACGCCAAATAGGAAATCAACATTGGTCCTTTGTTGATGATGATGAGACTATTCCAACATTGTCACTTGTGAGCTTTTGCTGTGTTTTTTTTTTTTTTGTTTTTTTTTTTGTTTTTTTTTTTTTCAACCGGAGTAGATGCTAGTGATGCTGATAATAGCAAACATCACTAGCACTCCCGGGGAGACTCCATCTATTGGTGGGGAGCTGCACCTGCTGGAAAATGGGTCCAGCGTCACTTTTTACAATAAGAAAATGAGAGTGTACAGAATTTGAGATAGCCTTTTGTGAATCATCATCTCTTCATCCCTTTTGGACGCCAAATCTAGCACTACTTATCTGGTCCTGATTCACAAAAGAGTTCCTGAAGCTCCAATCTGATATCTTTAATCATACCCAAACCAAGACTTGAGAACAATAGTTGATGATGGGGGAGGAAAGTGATCTGGAAACTCTACTGGAGAACGCAGGGGTATGGATGGATCTACCATTGTCCAATCCTGAAATAGTATCTTATAATCTCTCCTGAAATCTTCATTGTCCCCTCCTCTGGCCCCTTCCCATTTTACTTTTCCTAATTTTCCCCCCTGGTTCCCTCCCAGCCATATTTGGATATGTTTATGGATTTCTTCCTTTGAGGATAAGTGTTGTGTTTTTTCCTTCACCTGACCCCATTTAGTCGTAATTTCTGTTTGGACATATAATTTAATAGTTTCAGTTAATTTGACCCATTATTTGGTGGAACTCGAGTTGCAGTTCTGCTTCTGGTTCGAGGTCACAACTATCTGGTTTCATGTGTATGATGCCGCTTGGTTTCTGGAATTCGTTATCGCTCATTTTCCTTGCATTTTGCTATCAGAGTTGTGGTACGTTGCACTAATCTGGCGCTTGTCTTCTGCCTAAGCGGTACATGCATTAAGTCTGTTCGGTGAGCGGTCGTAGGGAGTGTGTAGTGAGGAGGGCGAAGGCAAGCAGGCAACCCAGGCGGAGAGGGGTATCGCCAAGAAGGCTACAAAGTGATGTTGGGTGTTTCGCAGTGTGATGAGAACTATCTGATGTGCGATTGATCTTGAGGTGGAACGGCATTCTAATGCTGGTTGTGCCGAAGCAGTGTCGCGGACTCACCGAGTGAGGTGCTCCGCCTGGGATAGAGATGGAGATGGAGGATGAGGGTGGAGCAAGATGGCACAGCGCAGCTCCCACGCAAACTCCAACGCACGTACTACAAATTGTGCGAATGTAGAATGATCCAAAGTACAGACTTTGGTTGGGGTATACCCGAGCGAACTGACTAGATTGGACCGAACTGGCTGGTACTAACAGAGGCATCGACCTGGACTTGACTAACCCGAATACCACACAGGCATGTGAGAACAGGCCAAGGGGCTGGTCTCACAGGCCAACCAGAGGTCCGATACACGATCATCGGCCTGTGATGGATCGCCTAGATAAAAGCACGCTTCCGCCAAGAAGCAGAACTCTACCAAGAAAAGAAAACCCGAGTAGTCTAGGATGCGGAGCAAGCTCCATGCAAGTGTCATTTCGTCAAAATAGACATCTTTTATTTTTTGAACGAAATTAAAACCGAGTTTTTTGGCCGAAAACTCGTCAAAATTTGTTGTTCCTGACGGTCTGGCGTTTTACAAACGCTGGACCTCCTGGTTGTACATGGACCTAGCTTGAGACCAGGCACCTCCAGGCAGGACTGCACTGCCTGGAGGTGCCTGGTCTCAAGCTAGGTCCATGTACAGCCAGGAGGTCCAGCGTTTCCTCAGGAATAACAAATTTTGACGAGTTTTTGGCCAAAAAACTCAGTTTCAATTTCGTCCAAAAAATAAAAAATGGCCATTTTGACAAAATGGTCATTATGCTAAGTCCATGTGATGCAACCTAGGATATAGAATGTCACAAAAACAACAATGTCACGGCTAACAGCCTAAGTGAAAGAAGAAAGCAACTAACTAGTATACATGTCCTAGGAAAGCAGAAAGTAATGACAACTAAATACTATAAATTCAATGTTGGAGGCAGTAACCTCAATCTGGAAACAACTGTCTTGTGTACAAGTCCAAAGAACAGGCAAAGCAAAGATAACTAAAACCTAGAAATGTCAGAGGCAGAGGCCTTAGTCTGAGAGCAACAAAACAATAACAAGACAACCATATGTCACAAGAAAGGTGTGTCGCAAATCACAGGGTGGGATGGTTTCTGAGGGTGGCAAATGCAGCCTAGAGGTCGATAAACTCCTATTAGTAAGGGCATCCACACATAATGACAGGAAGACTTATGTCATCAGGCTCAATGAGGGTAGGGGACTGGGAGCGAACAAAACCAATGACCCTAACAGATAGACCATCAGGGCGGGTAATGCTCGTCTGAAGGGGTGACCGCTATGTAGGGTCGACCATGCAAGGGAATAAGGGAACCTGGTATACTGGGAGCACCTAGATCAAACATGCGAGGTTGTCTAACTAGGGCGTGAGGGTCGGCAAAGGGTAGAAAAAATAACGGGTAAGGGAATCATGCAAATGACTCCCAAGGTGTGGGAAGTCGAAGCTAGATCCGTAAGTTGGGAAACCAGGACAACGCTACGGTCCCGATGCCTATGCGTATACCAAGGGAGAGCCCAACTCAGAGGAGCCCGACTAGGGGAGACCATTAGGCGACACAACCAGGGTACTGTACAGGGTAAAGTGGTAAGAGAGTGACGGCGTCTGAAGTAGGTAGAGTTGATCGCAGGGAAGTCCATGGAGCTGTCAATGACGTCAATGAAGAGAAGTCTGGAATGTCGTCGAGGAAGAGCTGCAACGTCGACGAGCTGAAGTAGCAAAACTGGAGTGGATTGACTACTGAGAAGTCAAAGACGTGGAAAGATAAGTCAGAGTCAATCGTCGTATCGAACAGGACGACGACGAGTGCGCCGTGAATGCTCAGAAGCATCCGGCTGCTGCTAAAGGTTACTAATAAATGCCAAGACCGAACTTGTCCGAATTGCTAATAAGAAGGGAAATTAGTATCAAAATCCCCACACTTTTCATATCAAGCAGACCCCTAGTT